GTGTTCGCGGTACCACCAAGCTTTCTAAATGAATACCTTGCGTTCGATTCGTGGGGTATCGTGTCATCGTCGTCGATCGCGCGAGTGTAGTTCTCGTTTGGCGAAACGTCAACGGAGAAGAATCGCGTTTGTGGCTTTTCAAAATCTCTTCCTTTAGATCATCACGCGCGGGGGGCATTAAATAGACAAAATCAAAAAAATAAATCCCATATGTAAGGTGTTTAATAACACATAATGTTTAATACACGTATACTCGACACGCTCGCGTGTAAATTTATTACTTTACCGTACGCTTGCCCCCCCCACCACCCCGCCCCACGACCCCCAGTGAATTTATCCGGTTTGTATTCATAGTTTCAGTGCTAATCGTACTAAATGTTTGTAATTAATTATCAAATATTTAAGTAATTCGAATCGTGCGTACCGTATACGCGTGTTGACTATCACAGCTGGGAATCGTGTTGTCTTATTTTCTAATTGGCGTGCGTTTTTTTAGTCGCTAGTCTATAGAGCGCCGCCGCACTCTTTACTCGCGTGTAGTCCTCTCGTAATAATAACAATAATATCGTCATCGTCGTTTAATGTAATGTGATTACGCACACGAGCACTTGAACTACTGAACTAATTTTGGTGTGCGCTCGACGATCGTTTCGCGATGCCGTCATCGTGCGGTCGGCCCGTAACGCGGTGTAAATCAATATCAATTATTATTATTTATTATTGTTATTATTATTATCATTATTATTATTATTATTAGTTATTATTATTATTATCGTTAGTTATCCGTTTAATTGTCTTGTTTAGGCTACGACGAGGAGTTGGGTTATTTTTTAAATTAAACTCGACAAAAACAACGTCGTCGGCAGTGTGTCACCACAATAACCCTCTAACCCACCGACCACCGCGATTATTCGCTATTATAAATATTATAATGCCGAATCGCCACTGGCTGCCGCCGCCACTGCGCAGTGTGTTATAACACACACACACACACACACACTCACGACTTGCATCATAACGTTTTCTCTCTCTCTGTTTACCGCCACCGCCTAACACGTTTCTCGTCGTGAAACAACGTGTGTGTGTCCTACAACTACTTCTGCTGCTCGTGTACAAAGTCTGTGCCGTTCGCGTCTGCTCTATACGACGCTATCGTCGGCTGCGAGTGTGCTGCTGCTGCTGCTGCTGCCTTCAGCGTCCCTTTCCGGTTTTCGTTTTACTTTTTTTCTTTCCGTAGCGTCGTATACACAATGTGTGTGTGTGTGTGTACGTGTTTGGTAATTAATTAGGTCGTACTACTTGGGGGGGGGGGGCTACGCCTGTCGTAGAACGAGAAAAATAGCCGAAGGTAAAATTTGCCGCAATCGCTTTCTCACGATATATAAAACTGCTATTATATATATTTTGTTTTTATTACTATTTTCGTACGTTACGAGGTAACGGTGGGGGGAATTTGTAAATAGGGTTATGGCACTGGGGATTAAACACACTCGCACGTCTACGGATATGCGTCATTTTTTTAATGTAAAACAAATCGGTCGTACGATACCGGTTGGCTGTGTGCGTGTGTATTAAACTATTGTTAAATTTATAAACAACCAGCCAGTGTTGTTTTAACGTGAAACATAAATATCATCTATATATAAATATATATATATATGCACATTAGTCAAACCCCACCGTCGCCGTCCATGGACGGTACAATAATTCACTGGTAAAACGCAAAACGATCGAGTCGGTTTTTAATAGGTCAATGCGCGCGTCTATGACGACGGACGGCGATAACTCGTTCTTTAGACCACCTTCTCGCGTCTGGCTTTCAATCGCGAATTCCTCTTCCCCCCCCCCCGTCTGTCTGTCGAACGTCGTGTATAACATGTCCGAGGCGACGACGGCCACGAATCCGATTCGACATGGAAAATATATTTAAAAGAGGTGCACGAGAAGAAGTACTCGTAAGTACTAAGTACTTAGAAAAAAAAAAAAAAAAAACATTTTCACATTGAGTTAAATTGTCGCCGTTTCTATGAATTAATAATTATTGAAACCGTATCGAAATAATTAAAACGTTTTGTAACTGTTTCAAACCGTGTTTGATACTAAAGTTTTGTTATCGAAACGTTTAAACGCGGCGGCGGCGGTCGTACGCGCGATACGATATGGTCGTTTTCGTTTCCAATGCGATTCACTTATTCGAAACGTATTAACGTATTAAGATTTTCGAGAGAGCTAATGAAAAAACGTTATTTCTTTTTGAAAAAAAAATAAATAAAATACGCCTTTTAATATAACTCGGGAGGAGGGTACACGATTTAAAAAAATTAAATATTACGTTTATTTGTCGTCGGCCGAGAAACACAGCGGATAATCGGAATTTTATAAATTTTTATTAGTAATTATAAATCAATCGTTAATACGTGGCCGTCGTGTGTGCCGCCGCCGTAGAAAAGAGGAGAAAAACCGCGAGCGGCGCGTAAATCTCAAGATTATTATATGCGCACAACATGCGGGAGAGCAGCAGTTTTCACATTCAGTTGTTTCTTCCGTCCGTCGTCGTCGGCTGCTGCTGTCTCGCTGCTTATTAATTCTCCATTGTTTCGCCGGCGGGGGACTTGTTGCCGGGCGATTCGTTATCGATTGTTGTTAACCGCGCGCGCGTTCGCTTCGAGTGAATAAAACTACTGTTATCGATCGACCGTCACGCCGCCGCCGCCGCATATTGTAGCGAAAATGTCGCTTTTCCCAAAAACTATATCCTCTCGGTCGCGTGTTGAATGAATTACCATTGTGTGTGTGTGTTACCTGCTGCTGCGCGTCGGTGAAGGTTATCGCGTGATGAAAACTTCAGGTATCGCAAACGTTTTACCACAATGTTATGTTATTATTTTAAACTCGGCAACACTGATTGTGCGTATTTGCCGCCACCGTAGGCCGTCTCTGTCTCTCCCCTACCCCGTCCTACTACTCGTCCGTAGGCGCGCGCGCGTATACGCACACGCCGAGTTAATTTTGTCCGTACCCTCCCTCCTCGTTTCACCCTCTCCTCACCCATCGTTGTCACCGCCTCGCGCTTCTCGCTCTCTCTCTCACTCTCTCTCTCTCTCGTGCACTCAGGGCCGCCGCCGCCGCCACTCTTTGTCCTCCGCTCGCGAATACGATCCGTTTTCTGCGCGCTCGTGTATTTGACGGCCACGTCTAAACGTATATAACATATATACGCTCATATATATATTACACATATATGCTCGACCGCGTTCGCATTGTTGTTGGCTCGGAAAGGGGGTAGTGAGAAAGAATTGGCGAGCGACAGTCCGTGGCTGCCGAACATTGTTTATGGGGCCCCCCGTTGGTTTGATGGTCGTACGGCGGAAGGTGGGGAAAATATCGTAAAACGATGTGTGTGTGTGTTGGTAGTGTGCGCCGCGCCGTTTATGAAACTCGCCGCGGCGGAGTACTACAGTGACCATGAATTCTCACTGTTTGGGGCCTCTACGTAGCGGGCGCGCGCGCGCACAATAGCCAACAACCAAAGTGGCGGCGGCAATAACCGACACAATGTTGTTGTGTAATACACTGGTGCTACTGCCGCCGCCGCCGTCGACTTTTATAAATGCGCATATACGTACTACGCGCGCAATGCTGCGAATTTGTATTAACGAATTTTCCGCAGAGAAAATGTCTATTTGCCTCTCTCCGCCTAAATGTGAAATATTCGTCGGTAGCACGACGCGGTCTATAGTACAAAACGATATATTATCGCTTTTGGGATAGGCACCACTCGTTGGACGTGTGGTGGAATATGGGACAGCAGGCCTACGAGATAATCAAAAAAAAATAAAAATTAAATTAAAACCGTTGTCGTCCGGAGAGACGACGTATACGTATCGAGTTTTCGAGTCGCGGTCGGACGCGTATGTCGTTTCCCCCCCCCCCCCCCGCTGTAGTTTGCCAATTATATCATCGTGTTGTTGTCTGTCGTCGGTATATCAATCGCTGTTGCGCCAATAATTATGGAGGGGACACGCAATTTTACTGATGCGATTTGTTTGGTTTTGCGTTTCGTACTCACTAAACGGGCGCGTTGTCCCGCTAGACAATAAGTCGTGTTTTGTCGTGTGCGTATTACGCGTTTGTGATTTCGAAATCGCCCGATCCGTCGCCGCCCCCCCCCCTCATAACGACTGATTGTGGTGATCACTGTCCCTGCCCTCCGGCAGTGACCACCACGATCCACGTAGATAAATCATCATCGTGTTTTTTTTTCAAAGCGCTCGTCCGTCCGACCCGACCCAACCGTCCCTTTGGACCGGGAGATCGTAAGCCGCGCGTTTTTTTATTCATACACCAATAGTTGTGGTGGGGGGGGGCTTCTATTGGTTACGAAGTTACGATCGATTGCCGCCGCCGCCGCCGTTGAACAACAAATACACCGCCGAGCTCGAGCGTGTGTGTGTGTGTTTTAATCGATAGATTTCGGTTCGAGTGTAACGACTCGGGCCTGAGGTTTTTGACTCGTTTTGTGATACGACGTAGTATTATTATTCGCGGCGGCGTTGACCTTAGTAAAACCGTTTCGATGTTTGTACCGGTCGGCGGCGGCGGTGGCGGTGTGGCGCGTTCAAACACGATATTTGGCACGGCCTACCGCCGCCGACTAACGCGTCGTCCTCCTATTGTAGAAGAGATAAAAATACACGCATATCGTAAAGTTTTGTTGTGTACTACACTAATGACACGACCGTGACGCGTCTCGACTTTTTATATTATTTTGTTTCCTTCCACTCGGCGAACGCAATACGCGCACGATTATAAATATTATTACTGTGTCCGTGTTGGGTTATATATATACACGCACGCACACAAGCACATACTCCTCGTATACGTTAGCTCGCGATTAATATTTTCGGACAACAGTAACAAAGAGAGTTTAGTAGCGCCGAATGCGTCCGAAAATCATAATGACGTATTCGCGCAAAACAGGTTTTTTTTTTTTAATTTCGCTTTGTTTTGTCGTTTATAATTGCCGTTAGAAATTAATTACCGGTTGCGCCAGTCGTGATGTACCAGTAGTAGTTATTAATCGTGTGTGTGTGTTTGTTTGCGAGCGTGTGAGAGCGCGCGCGTTCTCTACAAAGACGAGGCTAAAGTAAAGCGTTAAGAGAGTCGCCGCCGCCGCCCTTTAATATCGATGGATTATTCGCGCGTTGTTCGGAGACTACTCGACAATCAGTGGTGTGCGTACGGCGGCGGCACGGGGAGGATTTATTTTTGTTTTATCAATAAAATTTTTCTTCGAAACCGGTCCGAAACGACAACTTGGGGGGGGCTGCGCTGTGACTCCGTAAGGCGCGTACTGCTGCCGTTAATTGTCGTGGAGGCAGTGGAAGGTTTTCGGACTGATAACCGTCGGCCAACTACTATTGTGCCGCGCCTGCAGTACGACCGAGATCGGTGCGGCGTCATGTTGCGGTGGTGTACGGCACTGCAAAAAAAAGGTCGTTCGATGCGATTGCAAGCCGCGGCGACGGTATGACCAGAAACGGCTATAAAATCGCCGCGTCGCGTTTGAGATCTGTACGTCCCACGGATTCACATATATCCTACTACGGGTTTTTCTAAGGACATCGTCGTCGTCGTCGATAACTCACTAGATGTCGATAGCGTTGCTGCCGCCGCCGATTATTTATTTTTTCTTTGTTTAAGAGTTAATGCGTAGTTATTAAAAAAAAATAAAAAATTAATGTGGCGCGGAGCTCATGTTTTTACACTCCGTAACGCGCGTTTCTCGTCGTGGTATTCGGTTACGACGTCGGTCAGGAGTGCGGGACGCGTATACGCCGAGGATATACTCGGCCTTTTTTTGGTGACCCAGTGGTGGTGCGAGTTAACGAAATCGCAACGAGATAAGGCTCGTCGCGTTTTTGGTGACCACTACCATCACCACCTTCCACCATTACCACCACCGGCAGCAGCAGCAGCAGTAGCTGTGTGTGTTTGACCGTGTGTCGATTCGCCGTGTGTGTGTGTGCGTCTGTCAAGACTGTGTACAACCGACGTGTAGTTGCGTCGGTCAGTGCGGCAAATCGATCTACGCGTGTCAGTCGATCCGAAAAAACACACTGCCGTTGTCGTGTTCTGCGTGTTCCGGCCGGTTCCGATGAAATCCTCGTTATCCGTGTTTTCTTTCGGCGGTAGATTTTGATATAATTCGTTTTACCGTAAAAATCATCGCGTTTTTTTCATCGAATAGCAAAGTGTTTTTGTTTGCGGCGGCAGTGTCGATTCGTTGGAAAACTAGTCGAAATGTAAATCGATTTGCACACGACTTCCTGGTGGCGGCATAGTTCACTCGTCGACCAACGATATTTCAATATCATCATGTTACAGTAATGTCGTTTTTTCTTTTACCGTTCAATGTTGTTGTTGTTGTTATCGACTCCGCCGCGATGATGCTCCGTTTCGTTGACGCCGCTTACAATTGACAATGACTAGGGGGTGGGTTACCGTTACCGTCGTGGTGTTATTTACGATCTCTGGACGGTGACGCGGCGGAGTAACCACCGTATAGTGTATTTGTGTAGTGCGTAGCGCGGTTTTTTTTAAATTTCGAAGAGGCCGCCGCCGACTACGGGAAGCGGCGTATACCATTGCGAAATCGTACGGCGCGATGATTCATTGGCGGAATAACACAACGATATATTACAATACCGACGACGACTCCTCCGACTACTAGGAGGAGTAGTGTGTGTGTGGGTAACGTCGTCGTGTCCGTCTCGGACGGAGCTATAAATTGGTTCAAGGCCGTGGTGCCCGGTGGGCGGATAAAACGCCGCCGTCGCCACTACTGCGTGTGTCGGTGGGCCGCCCCCGCGACCGTCGTGATTTTTTTTCCGCGTCAAGTCGCATTTGCGCTTTTGTGATGATACTACACAATCGTGTATACCGTGTGGTGGTTCTAAACAAACTTTTATTTTCGTCGTTGAAGATCATTACCGCGTTTTTGCGTAACGCGCGCGCACATTGAATAACGCGGCGGCGGACGGGGCGACAGACAACAATGGGGGCGCGCGAAGAGTAAAAATAAACTTGAATGAGAATAATAACGACGCCGCCGCCGCCGCCGCTCTCGCGAGTCACTCGTGTCTCTGTGCGCGTTTTGTAAGCGGCTTAGAGAATTCGATTGTGCACGTTGACGACGACGAGAGGTGATATTTTCCATGGCGGCCGCGGCGTATGTATGTAATCCGTTTACCGTGTATTGAAATGACAACATTTATCAAAGTGTAAACCGCCGCCTACAAATGTCAGACCGAAAACAAAGCCTATACAGCAGCAGCTTACTAGTAGTAAACACAAAAACGGGGGTGGTTGGGTTAATTGTTGACGTGTGTATCGTAAACGAGTTTCGTATACACGCACACACACCGACAATGGAATTATTAATTATTTTATCACTTCGTAAATGTCTGTCTCCGTATCGAAACGCCAGTATGAACGACGATTATACGGACGCCTACGCGTTCGCATCCTAATCGCGCGAGAGTTGTTTTCGCTTCTCGTTGTTGTTGTCGTCGTCGTCGTTGTGTACGACTCGCTATATGAATTTCGTTTGAACGTTTCAAACGACATTTACCCCGAATATCGCGAGAGGGGGTACACCTATCGCGTATAAACGTATTTACGTTTTGATTTTTTTTTTTTTCTATGAATTTTTCGTATTCGCACGTTATATCCACGCGTATTTCCTAGCACTACTAGAGTTGCCGCCGCCGCTGCTTGAAGCGAACGATTTTTGGCTTTTTTTATTGGTTGGGTTGGGTTGGGTTTGGTATACTATCGTGTATTGGACGCGTGTTTTTTGCGCATCCTACTATGTGACTACTTCACGTGTGCGATGTCCATTATACGCGTGTGTCCGATCGCCGGTCGAAAATAGCGAATTTGTTGGAATCCGACAGCAGCAGCGCGTACTACACCCAAAGAAAAACCTCAATCAAAATTGAAAGAGAAATTTTATCAAGGGTTTATGATAATGTTTTATTAATACGAACAAAATAACTATTCTTATAAATAATTATTGTTCAAGACAAGAAAAAAAAATATCATATTGATAAATATATCATTGATTCAATGTAATGATATATTTATCAAATTGAACAATGAATTTATTATATAGATCGAGGTTTTTCTCTGGGTGTTCATCTGCCGCCGCGCGGTACTCGACAAACATACGACATGAGTCCTCCTCAGAGATTCCGGCAAAAGCGTCGTCGTGATATAAAATATCGTATCGTCAAAGCTGCCCCCCTCCCCCCGTTAGTGATTATAGCTGCGGTAGAGGATACCGACCGACCGGTTGTTCGTAGCGGGGACCGTATAAATTGTATGCGCGCGCGCGATGGGTCTTTTAGGTCGATAACGCGACGAGCCAATAGACAATCCGTCCGCTCGCACTGCTCGTTCTTCCGATGATGTGTTCGCTAAAGAAATATGCCGGTACATTTTTTTTTATTTCTTTGCTTTTCATATCCAATAGTGTCTGCAGCGGCGGCGGTCGTTAAATACCCGCACAACGGTTATATTGTTATATATATTGTCGTGCGGTCGTCGTCGGTATTCGAGCGTGTCTAGGTTAACAGGCGCAACACGTTGTATTTTACGACCTGGTCGCGAACGCAACAGGCAAAAAGGGACACAAAGGTCGCACTCCGCCGCCGTACGTCTATTGCCGCCGCCGCGTACTGAATATAATAAATCCTTCTGGGATCCAAAAAGAGTCCAATAAAAACACTCACAAATATACACACTCTATAAAAAATACACACTCTGCTGTTGGATGACGGGGGGCGTATTGTCGGCGTAAATATTTGTTTACGACGCGGTGGTAATATCCGTTACGTTCGTTTAACCTTTTCTTCGCGATAGAGACCTTTTTTTTCCCGTCGGTCGTCTGACCGCCGATGAATCGACCCGAGGCTCCGGTTTTGGATCTCCGACGACCAATTTCTTTATAACGGTATAATAAATTAAACGTGTCCGACAGATCGTATCGAATCGCGATTCGCCGCCGGCTCGTAATTTATGCGCGTTTTTTTATATGTACATAAAAATACATATCGAATTCGGTCGTAGTAGACGCGCCAACGGTGCTTAACCGAACACACCGATAACCGCACAAAAGTAAAATCTCTTCGGAACGTCGTCGTCGTCGTCGTTATCCACAATATCAATATAACGTATAATAACATAACGTCGTTATGCACGAGGAATAAAAAAAATGTCGTTATATCGTGTGTGTGCGTGCGCGCTTCGTCCGTTATGTAAGTTAACCGCTAACAACGATTCTAGACGGATTTAACGCGATCGTTTAACGATTTAATCAGCATCGTGTAAAATCCGTGTTTACCCCCGTAACATTCATCGTCCTTACACGCGTAATATCTTTGTGCGGCGTGCTGCTTTATTATGATGTCTTATCAGGCAGCAGTCGCTGGCAGTGAACTTTAAAACATCGCGATTATCGTTATTTTAATTATTGCCGTTGAACATTTGACTAAACTGAAACCTTTTATTGGAACCGACGATTAGAGCGATAAAATTACAAATAATTATTCAGTCGAATGTTGGTTGGGTTGGGTTATTACGGGGGGGTATTACGCGGCGACTCTTGTGCTACACGCGTTAGAAATATGGTAGTAATCCGCACGATTCGCCCCGTCGTACGACTACAATTTTTATTAGTCGATATTATTTAATTAAATAAATAAAACGTACACCAACAGCAGTCGTCTACGTTTTTTATTTATCGAATTTTTATTTATTTATTTTTTTTTTTTTTTACAGACTGGGTCCATATGATCTCCACGAATCTTGGACTAAGATGAGCGGCGGCGCAAGCCCAAGCTCTGCGTTGCCCAAGAAAAAGAAAAAAAGCGACGCCAAGCCACAGTCCCAAATGTGAGTAGTAAATTCAATTGTTCGTATTATTATCAAAAAAAAAAACCCGACCGGCGCGCGCAGTACATTTACGTCGGTACATTTTTTTTTATTAACTAGGTTTTTTTTTTGTTTATCGGTACCGAACAGGACCGAATCGTACACGCGCGCTTCTCGAGTACGTGCCCGTCTGCCGTCGCCCTGTCGTTGCTGCGATACGTTTTTGTTGTTTACTGGCGATACTTTTTTTTGTTGATTACTCGCGATACGTGTTTTTGTTGATTACTCGCGAACCACAATTGTGGGCTCCTTGTTAACGAAGAAAAGAACTTTTTTTTGAAACCGCTCGTTTTTACGACGTTGTTTCCGCCTTAAAAACTCGTACTTTAAACACACCATACTGCCGCCGCCGCCGCCGATACACTCAAAACACGATTTTCATTTTTTGTTTCTCATTAAATAATTTCTAGACGAACCCGTTTGAAATTTTTCCCGTAAACGACCACCGGCTATATTTTCAACGCGTGCGTTCGGCACTGTCGCGTGTCCTCCTCAATTACGCAGCAGCAGTGTTGTCATTACATAATCGATAGTGGTGGTGGTGGTGGTCGTCGTCGTCGTACGTTTTTTAACGCCTCGAAGAAACGCGCGCGCGGCGGTCGGGTTTCGGGGACGTGTCCGGGACGAAAAAATAAGCCGTTTTAGCGCGGTGACCGCGCGCTCGAGGGGTTTGTGCGTTTCGGGACGACGATGACGAATCGATATTATAAAGGTCGTCGTCGTTATCGATTGTGTTTGTACGTTTCGTTGTCCGGGAAGTGGTGTTTGACGAAATGTGAAAACTTTTCACAGACGCGAGTAGTCGCCGCGTATCGCGGTGTCGAATGTATGGGGGCCGCCGCGCCAAGGTCTGCTGCTGCTGTAAGCGGTGCGCGCGTCAAAAGAGTTTTCGGACAAATTCAAAGCGTGTCTCCGGAATATATATATAGTTACCGCCGCCGTGTTCGGTTTTTAGCGTGGACAAACGGCGGCGCAGACGTGTAAACGTTGTTAAACTATTTTTGTCCAAAGGAAATTTGTGTCCCGCTCGAGCTCATCGGCCGGGGGGCGCTCGGAGGAAATTCAATTTAGAGATGCCGTGTATTATCATCGTATGCCGCCACCGTAGTATTAATTGAATTCCGGCTGCGCGCTTAAGGTGGTGGTGGCCTTTGGCGGATCAAAAGATTTACCACCCTCGTTACGAAAAACGCCGTGTGAAACGCTGCAGAGATTCGTCGTTTCGATCTCGCTTAGACACGCGAGGTCTCGTAGTCGTCGCCGCCGCCGCCCCGTTAAAATTAAATTTTTCATCGTAGTGTGTGGTGTTAATGTGGTGGTGGTGGTGATGCGACAACTAAAACCGCCGTAGTATACGCCGGAGAAACGCATACACGTACAGAGGAGAGGGAGAGATTATGTTTTTTGGGGCGATTAAAAACAAACACTCTGACTATTTGTAAAATTACTTCGGGAACGGCCATCTCATCGATTACAAAAACCTATTGACGTCCGAGCGCGTTCCGTCGTCGTGTCGTCTAATTTTTATCGCGTTCGTTACGTTGCGAAATCGCGTATTTTCAATCCGATCGCGTTTTATCCGGTTTCTGATTTTTCACGAGTCGTCCGCGCGCGTCCTGCGCTGTTCTCTTCAGCCCCGAGAACCCATCGCCGCGGTTTACGCCGAATAACTCCGTTGTCGTCAACGTCTACGAGTAAAAATTACGGCTAGTCAAAACGATTTCAAAAGACGTGGTCGCATCCCCCGCCCGGACTGATTACGCGCCGTAAATACGTTTAAAAGTACCATCGTTATGTTTTCGTAGGTGTGACTAGCGCTGTATTGTGTGTATGTGTGTGTGTGCTGATCGTCTCCGCTATAACGTGTGTGCGTGCTGATCGTCGTCGCTATAACGTGTGTGTGTGCTGATCGTCGTCGCTATAACGTGTGTGCATACACGTAACGATGCTGGAACCGAAAATAATGACGACGACGACAACAATCGCGCGCTTTTTTTCACGATCGGCGGCACGCCGATAGCGGACACAAACCAGATTCGACGTTTTCGTTCCCCGTGACGGAACGCGCACCGCCGTTTTTGACCCTGTAGAAAAAATCGACTCCATCGCGTACGATTCATTTCGTGTTTGTCTGTCGGGCGTTATCTCGAATTCGATGGAACGCCACCGACGTTCGTCTGTCGTATCGATGCGGTTTTTTTTTTTTGTTGTTCCGCGCGTCCACGCAGCGTGTGTGAAAACAAAGACGGAAAAGTCATCTCGAACCGCCGCCGCCGCCTCGTACTTGCCGGAGGGGGTTTACAGTTAAACCGAGAGGATTTACAGTTAAGCCGCCACCGTAGTAGTAGTAGTTTTTTCGCTCTAGTCATCGCGGCCGACCGACTTAACCGCGTCGCGGTAATTTCACACGCGCCGCGTAAATATTCCCAAAAACGGAACGCTGGTTTGTGTCGGAATCGTGTTTTTTTTTTTTTTTTTTTTATGTGGAAACCGCCGCACCATTATTGACGACACCGAAACGAAGACGGAGTGTGTTTACTGTTAACACAACACAGAGCAAAAAGAACGCGCCTATTATTTTCTCTAGCCGGCCGGTCGTCGTTATTTTACGGCCGTAAGCCGTTGTGCGCTGCTCGTTACTATTATTTTTAATTCGGTCAAATTATATATATATTTAATAATAACTGCCGCCGTTTTAATGACTGCGCAAAACTAAATTAAAACGACGACGACGGCGTGTTTAGCCTTATCGTCTCGTTAAAGACGTGTTCCGATCGTGATAGTCGTTGCCACCGCGCGCGCGTACGTACTCCAATTACTGAAGGGGGGGGGGTGCAATAATGTACGTGTGCGTTGAGGGTGCGCACGACTAATTAGAAGAGTATATTTGCCGTCTGTGGTGTCGTTCACTGGATGACGAGTTTTTTTTTTTTCGTATTTTTTAGCGTACTACAGTCGTGTTGGGGTAGCAGCAGCAGGTCGACCGCAGCAGAGCTCGTCTATGGCTTTTCACCTTCAAGGACACGCCATTTCCCTCTTGGCGCGTTGTGTGTGTGTGTGTTTGAAAAAACGTACCCAGTGAGGTGTGCTGCTACTCGACGCGCGCGTCTCTCGGCGACGGTTTCATTGACCGTGTATTTCTACAACGGAAACGCGTCTTCCGCCTGCGCGATACTCGCAATAAATCAAAGACGAATTATTTTTTAACCGACCCTTCGTCGAAACTCGGAAAATATTCTAACCGTTTTACTCTCTCGGACGTACCGCTTTTTCGTCTAGTCGGAATCGGACGATTATTACAGTGAATCTCGTTGATTGATTTTTCAAATCGGTTGTAGAATCTCGTTGTGTTTTTTGCCGAGAAATCTGAACGTTTCTCGTGGAAATGGCGCAATATTCTATGCCCGTTATTATTTCTATAGATCATCCCCGCCGAGCCGGTTCTGACTCTGTTTTAACGGCGATGTGATGTTGTTGTTGTCGTCGTCGTTTTCGTTAACGTGTATTGCGCAAAATTAATTACGAAATTATTACCGAGCCTCCGAACAAAAGCTCGGATAAGAACGCTTTGACGTTTTCCCCCGTTTCATTATCTCCGCCGATCTGTTTACAATACTCTGTGCGCGAAGGTGTGTGTAGATGTTGTTGTTGTTGTGGCAGAGCGCGTTTACTTTGTGTACGCTTTGCAAAGTGTGTACGTTCTCTCTCAATTAACATATTGTGTTTTCGCGTACGACGACAATCATTTGGTCGGTTGAGTTTCGATTGGCAAACGTTTTACCCTCCGCCCGCGCAGTACACTTGACAAACACGTCGCACGACGTTGTAATTAACACAAAGTTTTAGGCTTTTGTGTAGTGCCCGATGCGCGTTTGATGTAGTCGCAGTGAGGGTGGATGTTGTTGAGGTGGTGGTGGGGTCGAGGTGGAGGTGGTGGTGGCTGAGGAGGTAGTGGTGGTTTCAAGAGCGAGAGTAAAACGCGTCAAGAAACTATTAAATTAACTTACGCGCTCGTTATGCAATCATGAACGTAATATGACATTTGCATAAATAAATATAACTGTAGTTGGGTTTTTTTTTTTTTTTTTTTTTTTGTCTTGAAATATGTCTCGGGCTCGGCGAGTTTCTCTTCTCGCTATCGGTATTTTTATTCGCTGACGTTAATAAAAACTATCACGACTGTTTTATATGAATATCAAATAACAAATGACTATATCGATAGTGTATAACATATATATATATACACTATATAACATGTATACACACACACACGCACACATACACGGGATACGGTGTAATATTCGTCCGATCAAAGGTTTTCTAGTGCGATTTTAAAACAAAATCAATGATATAAACGATAATCTTTAGAAACGAGCCGTTAAACAAACTCGATTTTATGGACGCGTTCAATCTCAAATAACAATTAAATAGGAGTCTGCACAGGATTTCTTACTCGAAACTTTTAAGATAACGTTGTTTGAGAAATGCGTACTGTTATTAATATCGTCGTAGTAAGTCGTCGGTACTCGAGATCGCAAAGAGTTTGGCGGCATCGAATATCGTATTGTAGTGTTTGTACCGCTCGGTTTCTGTACTTTGAATGAATATCGTTGTACAGAAAAAAGCAATTTACTCTATGTGTTTTTTTTTTTTTTTTTTTTTTTTTTTTTTGATACCTTAAAAGTAACGGCAAAATATATGCATGTATTTTATTTACGACTGAGACGTGGGGGCGGGGAGTGGACGACTTTGCCGATAAATGGACCGTTAAGAGTTTTTCGACTTTTAAAGTCGTTTATTAATTTATATTTCGGCGGCACTCGTAATGTTTATGAATATTTGTGCTCTTGAAAGTTTTCCATAATAATAATGTAAAAGTATTTATAAATCAACTAAGACGAATATTATATTTAAATTCATTAACAAAATGTTGAAATTCGGAATATTTCAGTAGTACCGCTTCGTCTCGTATATTTTCTTTGTTATTGTAAAAAGCATCGACTGCCGCCGCCGCCCTCATTGCGATCGGGGATCAGACGATTTTTTTTTTAGCCGAACCGGCGGCGGCGGGCTCATTTTTCAAAAAGATTATCCCCGCCACTAATCGACTAAAACATAGAGTATAATTGTCAGAGTTTTTTCGATAAATGTTCGTGATTCGATTTGCATAGCGTGTGTGGTGTATAGCGGTGACATAATTTAAAAACTAACGTCGTGTATACAGTACGTGTAGTCAGACTCAAAAAAGACCGGTTAGCTAATTGATTATTGCCGTCGCCTAGCAGCAGCAGCAGCAGTAGTAGTAGAAGAAAAATCGATTCAAATTTCATTTCTGAAAACGATGGTGTGTTTTATGGTGGTGTTGGACGCGGTCTCTATTAAAGTCTTGTATGATGATACGGGGAGTCAATTAGTGACTTGAAAAAAAAGCCATTTCCCGTGGAAAAAAAAACCGTCCGCCCCGCCGAGCTAATTCGACTTGACGATTCATTGGAGTGTGTTCCGTTGAAAACTTTTACGTCAAAAGTTTGACGTCTGACGAACACGATTTTCTACGCTATAGTAGTGTTGACGGCGGCGAAAACTAGTTAAAAAGTTGTCGCTACGTATTATTCTCTCGGCCGGCGAGAATGTGTTTTTTTGAGAAAAAGGGCTCCAAATTTCAACAGGGCTCCTCCTCTGTCGACGACAATATGTCGTCGTCGTCACTACATAATACATTATCGTATCGTTGCAGCGGCGGCGGTGGTAATTTGACGTTTGTAGTTTTCGAGGGCGAAGCTTTCTAATTGGGAATTATTGATTTTTCCGTAGAGCGTTTCCAAAATAATAATCTTTACGGAGCTGTGTCTGTTTCCAACGGATAAAACGTGTAACCGCCGAGGAGACGACCCTCCTTTCCGCGCGTACTCCGCTGCCAATCTCCGAAATGGATTGGTCCGACTTATGAAAGTCAATGAAATCCCGATGAGATTTTTATAACGCGCGCTCTCTCTATCTCTCGAGAAAATCAATTCGATCCAAAGTTTTCGATCCAAAAGATGCGGATCGCGATCGTGTATCGGACTCGTAGGCGCGACCGCGTGTGAATAATTTTTTTATAGTCGATAAAAAAAAAAAAAAAAAAAATTACCTAGAGATTTCCGTGCTCGTCGTTGCGTGTTTGCGCACCGTTAGTAAATATCGGTTGTTTGATTTTTTCACAGTAACAAGTGCCTTAATGAAAAACGCCGAAGAGAACAGGAGAACATATACATCGAAGAACTGGCCGAGTTGATCTCAGCTAGTTTTGCGGACATGAGTTCCTTGTCTGTGAAACCCGATAAGTGCGCCATTTTACAGGAGACCGTGAAACAAGTACGTGTGAAATGTGATAATTTCTATTGGTCGTCGCGTGTTGTGCGTGCACTACACACGTGCTGCTTTTAGAAATAATAAAAAAAAAAATTATAATCAATTGTCCGCCGCGTGTTCACTGTTGTTGTTTTTGATTTTGTTCTCAGAACCGTAGAATAAAACCTGAAAATTCAGAAAGTTTAGTGGCCATCGAATCGGCCGTACAACAAGGCGAAGTCTCTTCGTCGAAACAATCGAAAATATCCAACACGGAATTGGCTCCTCTTCTTCTTTCGGTGAGTGGTGTGTTTTGTGACCACCGGTTGTGACGGCTGTGGGGGGGGTTGAAGCGCAGGGTTGCGCGATTACGTTTCCCCCCAACCCCGACCACCGACTTTAACGACGATTGCCGTAATTAATAAAAAGTTGCCGCGCGTGTGTTCACAGGCGTTGGAAGGGTTTTTGCTCGTCGTCAGTGCGGACGGCCGAATAGAATTTGTCAGCGATAACATTGAACAGTTTCTCAACTACAATCAAGAAGAACTGATCGGCGAGAGCGTTTACAATTTTATTCATCACGGCGATCACACCAGATTCGGTTTGCTATTGAACAACCCTCTGTTGATATACAGCAGTTCCTCTTCAATCGTGTCGCCGCCGCCGCCCGGCGGTTCCTCCCAGTCTTCGGGTTCGCTTATGGAACAGCCGCCTCCTTCCGGCGGCGGCAACAAGGGCGGCAACAACTGGAATCGGAAATTCACCACCAAGTTCAATTGTCGGCTGCTGGTGAAACCGCCGCCGTCCGATCGAGACCAAACGATCGAAGAAAAACAGAGTAGACCTTGTCAATACAAGACATTACAAGTACGAATATATATATAAAAAAAAAAAAAAAAAAAAAAAAACCACCACCGGTACCTTCCTTCCTATCCTAACGACGACTACGGATGCATCCGTAGTACACATCCCCGTTAAATTATTTATCTCTGTATAAATCGTTTGTAATTTTTTTTTTTTTTTTTTCATTATTAGATATCGTCTACAAAAATTAATGGTGGAATGCTAGATGACGAAGAAAATACCGATGGCGGCGGCCAGAGTTTATTGTGTATAGCGCAACACGCTCTCAACGAGAAACATCTCAGTCCGCCTTTGGAACAGTTCTCGTTTAAGCTCGATCAAAACGGCGAAATTTTAAGTTTAGACACTCAAAACGTATCGGATACGTATGCTCAATACATGAAAAAGGTAATGACGACGAGGGATTTCGGAGAATATTTAACGATGATTTTTTTTTTTTTTTTTTTAATTTTCCCTAGTATTTTTACACATTTTTTTTAATCCGTGTTGCAGGAAAATCTAGCGGGTAGAATGTTGCACGAAAAATGTCACAAGAGTGACGCTCTGAAAGTGATCAATCACATAAAAGAAACGCGGCGTGCAGGGTTCAGTACGAGTCCTATTTTCAGACTGCATTTGGTCGACGACAAATACATAAACGTGCAAACCAAATCGAAACATTTCAACAAAAACGAAGGTCACGATACGGAATTTATAATGGCGACTCTTTCGATTATCGGGTACACCTCTTTTTTTATTTATAATTGTAATAAAAATAATGATGATAATAATAATAATAATTATAATTATTATCATTATTATTATTTTCATTATCATTATTAATTTTAAACGTATAGAGGTACCACAAATTCGGTTGGTTTATATCGAATTATTATTATTATTATTTTTTTTTTTGAATTCAGGGACAGCGAAATGTGCAATATGATCGAGAACCACTCGTCGGCTCTCGCTGCTGCCAGCACTGCTGTAGCCGCCGTAGTAGACCCTTTGGGCGCCGGAGGAACGGTTTCCTTGAACGGAGTAGACGCCGCTTTATCGATGATGAGCGGCGGCGGCGGTGGGTCCACCACATGCAATCAGCAGCAGCAGCAGCAGTCGAACGTGCAATCCGATTCGAAATTTTCCAGCAACAACGTCTACGGCAGCGGCGGCAACAACAGGACCACCACTCCGCCGACATTCGAACTCAACTTGTCCAACTTTTCACTATTTCCTGGTTGCAATTATGGCGGTGGCGGCGGCGATATGATCGAAAACAAACCGTGGACGGCGGCGGCGGAACAGTCCGCGAGTGCGGGAGACGCGTCAAACAAAACTACTCCCGTGCCTAGTCCCGCCGCTACGACGATTCATTCCAATCCGCCGCCTCACACGCCGGCGGCAGCACCACAGACGCCATACGGTTGTTTTCCTTTTAGTCCGCTCGTTCAATCGCCCAAAGACACCACCTTTGACAACATCAACAATGCCGCGGCCGCGGCCGCCGCCGATAAAGCTGAAAAGTTGCGTTCATTGTTGACCACCAGCAGCACAAAGAGGGCTGACGGATCTTTTGACGAGACCGCCGCCAAGCATAACATTTTGAAAGGTCTTCTCAATCAAAACGAAATGAACTCGCAAGACGACGATTCTGTTAATCATCATCATCATCATCATCATCACGGTACACCGTCATCCAGTCCCGCCAATGTCCGTCAACCGCTTCACAACTTTTCCACCGTGATGGCGAACGACACCGCAGCAGCGATGATACCGCCGAATAGTGCGGCGGCGGCGGCGGCCGCCGCCAGTAGCAATAACAACAATAATATGTTGCTCAAGGTATGTGTGTATTTTCTTCGTTTGTATAGGTTTTTTTTTTTTTTTTTTTTGAAAAAATATGTTCTTTGTTTTTTTTGCAATTCGAAACCGGGGATTGCGCGCGTCGTTTATTAATCGAAAACGAATAATTTATCGGGAATTCCTAATGATACGCCGCGCGATGTGTGGTGTGCGTTAATTGATAATTTCATTTCGACTTGCAGTTGTTGAACGACAAAAGCGAAGACGAAGACTTGGAAGCCAGAATCGGTATTAAAAAGCAAAACGAACTCCTTCAACAGTTGCTCAAGGAAGACGATAACGGCGGTGGACAACAGCACGGAGGAGGAGGAGGTGGCGGCGGCGGCGGCGGCATGCACGAGGTAATTATTTTTAATTAAAATTTTATAAAAACAAACAATTAATCGTTTCCCCTTCCCCGGTATTTATGTCAATAGCAAAATGAACATCGTCGTCCAAACGACGACAACAACAGGATATTGAAAGTCTATCGGATTTTATCGCCCGCGTCACCCGACAGTCTTGGCCACGGCAGCAGGAAACGTAACAGTGTTGTTACTGCGGCGGACGACGACAACGAACATCCACCTTTAAAACGTACAAACAGTTCTTCGGCGGCGGCGGCGGGTTCCGGCGCTACGGGTCCCTTGTCTCTAGACTCTCTATCCAACCCCAGCAGCAGCATCGGCGGCGGCGGTAGTTGCCAATCCCAAGTGACCACCAGTAAATTGCGAGAGCGCAACAAGATGCTCGCTGAATTGTTGGAGATCAAAGACCCCACGCCACCGTCTATTCCGGTTATGCCCGCTTCCGTTATATCGGGTACACCTCAAGAAAAATTAGCAAACATAATCAAACAGCAGCAGCAGCAGCAGCAACAACATCAACAGCAGCAGCAGCAGCAGCAGCAGCCACAACAACAACAACAGCAGCAACAACAACCACCTGCTGGTAAGTGTGTGTTAACTGTGGAAAATTTTTTTTTTTTTTGTTACATTTTCTTCGTCTGTCGACTTACTACTTTTATTCATAACGCTAGGATGGAACAACAATAATCAACATCAGATGTGTATTGCCCCATCGCAGAGAATACAACAAAGTCAACATCAAAATCTTCTTCAACGCACTATGGCTCCAAAAAGTAATAAAACCAAGGCGTTATAAATTAAAATTGTCTCAAACCGAAAATACTAACAAAACGAACGTTATTATTTGTTTAATTTTTTTTTTTCCTCATTAATTTTATTGGTAAATTATTATGATCGAATTAAATTTTTTGTTTTTTTTTTGTCCCCCATTTATTTTATTAGTAAATTATTATGATCGAATTAATTTTTTTTTTTTTTCAACTCTGATATTTGTTCGTCCAAGTTTTATATAATATAGTCTTTTTGAAAAACTTTCAAAAAAAAAACACTTTTAAAGGGTAAAAAATCTTTTAACGCGATCGACGTGTAATAATTGCAAGTTCTATTATCGCGTTTCTTTGATTTAGGCGGTAGTAATCCTTATCTGAATACCATGTTGGATCAACAACCCCAAACCGCTCACGGCCCGGGTCACCTGACTAACATGCACATGCAAACAATGCGCCTCGTTACCTCGTCCGCTACTGGTGGTTTGAGTGGATACAACACGCAATTCGGTAACGCCGAAATCAATACTAATTTACAACCGTTCAATTCCGATCCCGAATTATCCGAACTGCTGGAAGAAGTAATGGATATAATGGTCGTTACTTCGGGTAAGAAAAATCACACTATTATTATTTAGTACGAAAACGAATTATTTTAAGTGTACGCTGCTCGTATCATAATTAATACTCTATTAAATTGGAAAAAAAAATTTTAATCCACCTCGAGATAATTCGACATGTTTGTTGATACGTTTTTACAATTTTGCAGAAACCGCTCAAACACCCAACACTACGGTTGGACCCAATACGGTAAACCAGAGTTCATTCAATTCGTTGATGAATGAAAATATGGCCGTTAGTGAAATCAAAAAGTGTTTGATGCAAGTCGAATCTTCGGTTAAATCACCGGTGCAGGTATAATATACTATTTTTTAATATAATTACATTTTATTTAATATTTATTTTTGTGAAAAACATTTTTATTAATAATTTTATTATATATAAATTATAATATAACAATATTATATATAAAGTATAATATAATAATATTATATATGAAGTATAATATAATAATATTATATATAAAGTATAATAGAATAATAATATTATATATATATATATATATATATATAAAAATTAATTTCTATTCACCACCACCGCCTCATTTCAGTTAAATTATGGTGGTGCGCCCAACGCTAATAGTATTCAAGTACAAAATCAATTCATACCACCTCCGGCCTATCAACCCCAACAAAAAAATACGAGATTCAACCATCAGCAATCGCCCAGATTGGCGGCTGCCGTGGCCTCGTCGTATCCTAAAAACGTACAGACGCCACCTCTGGTAAATACAATAAACAATCTTATCGTTTTAAAACCGTGTAGAAAATAGTTATTTTTTATCGATTTTCTTCTTTTATCATAAAATAGCAACAGCAACAATTATTATTGCAACAACAACAACAAAAACAAAGGTTAATTCAGCAACAGCAGCAGCAACAACAACAGAAGCAAAGACTTCTTCAACAGCAACAGCAACAGAAAATGGTCGTGTCGTCTAATTCGGCCGCTATTCCCAATCCAGATCCGACAACTGCTCTACAAACAATAGATTCTTTGATAAATAATTCTGTTGCGCCTAATGTAGCATTACAGGTAAAAGTCGACCGACACTATTTTTCTATCTGAATATGTATGTGGTGTTGGTATAAATTAAAAACCATTGAAATTTGTGTTAATTTTAACAATGTAAATAATTTTCAATTTAAACTCGCGCAGCTGTCTTCAAATGTACCTGATTCACAATCTCAATTAAGTCCGGTTTATGCTGCTGCACCGGGCAGCCAGTTGCTCAATTCATCTCAGATCTCACCTTCATCAAATCGTCAACCTCCTTACAATAACCTCCAACAACAACAACAATCGTTTTCAATGTTAAAGTGAGTTTAAAATCAAAAACGATTGATTGATATATTATTTAAAACAAAAAAAAACTGGATAAGCCAAACAAAAAAAATTAAAATAATACATATACACAGATTTATATGAGAATGTGTGTGTGTTTTGCACTGATGATTGTGAAAATGTTATTCCCGATATACGTATTTTTTTAGTAATTTTTATTTTTTTTTATTTCAACGACTCAAAATACAAATATTCCAGTACAACCACCATTTTAAATGAGACTTTGATGTGTTATTAACTCTTATTGTAAAACTCAATGGATTTATAATGAACTTTTTATGTTAAATTTTTGAAATTGTTGTACTTTTGAACTGAAGCGACAATATGATAAGATTTTTTTTTTTTTTTGTTAATATCCGTTCTTAATATTTATTAATTGTAATAAATTAGAATTGAAAAAATTCCTGTGTAATGAATTGATTTTTTTTATTATAGTTACGGAACGACAACACAAACTCAAACAACAGCACAATCGCAACAACAAATGACTCTACAAACGGCTTCACAGATGTCTCCGTCGAGTCATCCACAATACCAAAATACATTGAACCCTTGTGTGAATCAGGTAATATATTAAATCGTTGAAATAACTCGAGCTGCTGTTATTTATAAAGAAATAATTTTTTTTCCTATATCGATTTAATTCTAAATTATTTTCACGGCAACAGCAGCAGTATCAAAACCAACAGACCGCCGCCGGTGTGTGGACGCAACAACAAAGATTGACTTTACATCAACAACAAAATCCCATGTTAAATGCTCAATTACAAGTAAAATATTTGGTGGTCTTGACGACTCTTTTTTTTTAATCTATAAAAAAAAATTTTTTAATTTTTTTTCAAGGTCGCCGGTTTTAATAATGGTGGCGGTGGCGGCAATGCTATTAGACAAAATTTCATTAATCCTCAACAACAACAACAACAAATGGCGGCTGCACCACCCCAAACACAAAGTCGCGTTTTGACGAGTCCTGTCGGTTACAATACAGAAGTGACGGCCAATGCGAATTGTACGTCTCAACAACAACAGCAGCAGCAGCAGTTACAACAGCAACAATTTCGAGTGCCCAGAAGTATGAGCATCACTACCACCCCTACCAACGCTCAAATTCCTGGTAAAATTTTAGTTAATTTTTTTTTTCTTTCTAATTTTTCTCGACGCTACTCCAATGTGGTGACGTGTATAAAATATAAAAACGATATTTATATAAACTCGCTACTAATAGGAGGAGGAGGAGGCGGCGGCGGCGGTAACAACGGAGTAACGGAGTACACTAGAAACGAGTTACGCGCTTTTGTCGGTGTACGTAGTCAACAAGGCGGCGGAAACGCTCGTATGGCCGGTCAATTGTTAGCCGGCCAAAACGTCACTGCTGCAGAACTCGATCCCTTAGGTTTAAATTTTGATATGTCGCCATCGGGTAAGTGTGCTGCTGCTTTTATTGCAAAAATCATACATTGTACGCGATATCGACTTGTATCGAACGTATGTTTTTATTTTTTTTATATATAGGCGGTAGCGAAAGCCCCAAATGGTCAGGATTGAACTCCGATCACGGGACGTCATCATCTCCTCAACCACAAGTAATGGCGCCGAGGGTGAGTCGATTTAATCGTTTTATTTTTTGTGAAATTCTTAATTCGTATTTGAGTTTTTATTATTATTTACTGCGAGCGCTCGATATTAACGCATCTTTGTTATTTTAGGGTCAGCTCGATGACGCTGGAAGATTAAGTAATGCCAATTCCACTACGGGTACCAGCGTATCCGATCAAAAATCTTCGTTGTTACAAAAGCTTCTCTCTGAATGATGGCATTATTATTATTATTATTAATTTTTGTTATTTAAATTTTCACAGAAAATTAATTTGCAGGGACGACTCGTTTAGAATAATATAATTTATTTATTTTTTTTTTTTTTATGTACATTCAGTTTTTATTACTTTGATTATAAAAATAAAATTTAAGAAAAACATATTTGTTTTTACAAATTTTACTATGTACAAATGGGGACCGTCTATTTTACTAAACTCGGCGGTATTGAATTTAAAGGTAGAGTTTAACGCGTTACATGTTGATTTATTTACTAAGTTATTGATCATCGTTTTGTTTTACTTGCCAATTTAATTTTGTTGTGTACTCAATTATTGTTTTTTTTTTTTTTTACAGTTAAATTTTGTTATTATTTTTAATCCCGGTTATTACGTTTGAGATCATCGATATTGTCCAATAAGACGACAATATTATTAAATGTGGAATCCAGCTAAAAGAAAAATACGACTCCTCGATTGTTCTTTTTTTTCTACGCGTTCCCATATTTTCTCACTCGTTTTACACTCCATAATATAACACACTTGCACTTTGCATTATATTAACATTATCGATTTTTCACTATTATCATCGTTATTTATTACTTCATCTATGTATAACTTGTTTATAAAACGTTTGTATTCATTTCGAACAGATTTCACGTGAACTAATCGAGAACGTTCAATGAATTGTTATACAAACAAAAAGTTCCAACAGTTTACTCTAGCCGATCTCTCTAGTCGAGATTGGGACATCTTTGGGCTTCCTCCTCCTACTCTGTTGTGTGTTAATTGATCAGTGAGATATAATTTTTTCTGTAACACTTGATTTCTATACTTTTACAAAACGATCACCCTTCTATAATTTTGTTATATACTCTATGATAATATGTATTATGTTATGAATGTTATATTTTTAAATTTTTTTCACTTTCTATTAATCAACAAAATGCTGGATTCTGTTTTCTCACTAAAATTTTATTCCTCTCCTATGTTGTGTTTTATGTTGTTTTTTAAATTTTCATGGGGCATATCTTGAATAAGATTTAAGCTGTTAAAAAGCTACTAGGGTATAATAATTTACATATGTCGTTTTAGATTTGTTACCGTCATCAATAAATTCCTCCAAATGATAATAATTAAAGTAATAATAAATTACAGTGACATTCTTGTAGGTTTATACGATTTCTACGTATGATGATACTATACGGATATTTGATTATTACACTAACTTTGATACTGTTATTTTATCTCCAACTTTCTCTTTAGTATCAATATACTTATTATCGTCATTGTACATTATATTATTGAAAAAAAAAAAAATCATTATTGCTGTTGTTGTTGTTGTTGTTGTTGTGAGAATTTCTTTTTTTAAGTTCCTTTTGTTATTCATTATTATTTTTAAAATATTATTGACGAGTAATATTTTTTGATAAAAATAGTTATGTAAGAAAGTCATGTGTAGTATTGTTTATTTTTAATACTTAAGATTCACCTTTTTTACCTTAATTTTTTATCTGTCTGATATTTTTATAAAATTAAAATATGGTATATATTTTCTTAATATTTATATAAATATATAGATATATATATTTATTTATTTAAATATATATATATATATATCTGTGTAATAAATATTTTTTAGAATATATTTGATTGGATTATCATACCACACCATTTTTTTCTCCTCGCTCTATTATTCATTTTAAATTATCCGTTAATGAAACATGACGGATACTTTTTGTATGTTATCACAAAGTGATTTTATTTATGATATAAATAATTATTAAATACTGTTATTTATGTTTGAAAATATTACTTTATAGTTACCTATGCGATACACATTCGGGTCATTGCAAAGTTCTTAAAATAGGGGTGTTGTCTGTGTTTTTAATAGTTATATATATATATATTTATATATATAAAAAAAAAAACTAAATGTCAAATATAGCTTTAGGTTATTGATTAGTATTGATGTTAAGTTGTGGTGTAATATAAACGCATATAAATAACTATTTTTATTATATCTTTTAAGTTTATGTGGAAATAAATTTCTATGAAAAAACAGTGTAAATTTATGTTTTTCCTTTGAAATTAGATATTAAGTTTTTTTTTAACTCGGAATTTCAAAAAATTGTCCACGTCAATACAATGTACACACTTTATTACAGCGATATAATTATATTAAGGTGTATATAATGTGTAAATAATATTTTAATTATTTCGAAGTCTATTTGTAAAAACAAAATTAGTTATCTGTATGTGATAATGAAAAAAAATTGACGTGCAATTTTTTATTCCATTATTTTTGTAAACAGTTCTATTTGTTCAGAATTATAACAGTGTTATAAACCGTTTTTCTAGAATGATCTTTATTATAAATGAATATAAATATTATATATATATATATATATA